AGCTTAACTCTCTTCTGTAATTAGGTAGATGGGTCCTGCTACAAGTCTTAAAGGAGGGCCGCTCCCTCACTCAAAATCAAAGGGTTGGGTGACCACACAAACATATTTAGCAGAAACGCTTGTATTTAACCCGTCCACTGACTTTGTTTGCAGATGCTCTCTGTCATGGCACACATGTTTAGTTAGGACTGTAACCTTAGACATCTTTTAGTTAACTGGGTGTGTTTCAAACAGCTGGACCAGGAAGAAGTTATGGAATTTTGAACTGCAGAGCAGACTGTCGTAAAATATCTATTTGTCTCTTGGCTCAGCTTGTGTTTAATTTTAAAACTAGGCTTTATATTCCTTGGTCAGAATGGGTAGTCAAGCAAACACACCTTTTATTATCTCCTTTTCGTCTGCGGTCGATACAGAAACTACAGCAGGATGTGGTTAAGGATGAGAGAGTTTAGTCTTCACAGTCTGTGGAACCTGTAATCTGCTTTCACATACTCGCCGAACATTCCAGAGCTTCAGCTTTGTAACCTTCTATCATTGCTTTGAGTCGTGTCCAACAGCATAGCAAAGACCCCTTAACTTCAACACTGTGCCTATCCTTTTAGCCCTATTCTCCACAGCAGTTTCTGTGTGGTTTTTCCCCTCCCACCTCGTCCTATTCTGAGATGTGTTCTTTCCTAAGCGCTACTTAGCTAGGCCCCCAATTTCACGAAGCAAATTAAATGTTTTATGCTCTAAATACATGTTTATGAAATTTGAAAACTTACTGTAGCATTCCTGAAGCAAGCCAACACCAAAGAGAAAATTCCAGAGCCTGAAGGAATTGTTCTGGGATTATCCAGTCAAAGCCTGACGGGTTATTTCCGTATAAATGTAGAGATCTTTACAGTTGGTTTGATTTGACGTTTCATAAAAATGATACTAAAATAATTGTGCTGCAGACCCACACTATGTTTTCTCTCTACTAAAGAATATATGTCATGAATTAACTGTTTCCCTGCCTGGTTCCAGACCTCTGTTTTTCATATCTCATTTATTTGCTCAGTAATTCATACAACCAAGCTAATCTGAGTTTTTTAGATGGGATTAACAATGTTATCTTTCTGTTCCAGAGCCAGAAATATAGTGGTAGAAAATGTGTCATAAAATTGGCTACAAGCGTGGGTGAGACTAACTCAGGTCATCGTAAATTGACCCATCGAATTAGCAACAAAACACATGACTCATTTTTTCACTGCGGTAAAAAAACAACTCAACTAATGAGGTGACAAATTGATGTAGATGGTCATTTGCTTTAACAAATTATTGGGCAGGAGCAGAGGCTGGCCTTGTTTTATATGTTTGATTGGATGTTTCCACTTTTGTAAAGACACAGTTCATACTTAGTGAACACATATTAAGGATATACAGTAGATGTGTGGTTGTGGTTTGCTGTAGTGTACATTTGTTTGGATTAAAATAAATGGGAATAAAATGTAATCAAGCAGTGAGTTCCCTCATCAGATTCACAATAATTAGATCCAGTTGGATTTTTGATTTATGCAGAAATGACATTCATGGCAATAATCAAAGTTTCACATTTAGTACTGCCATATAAATGACATTGCTTAATATTTTTTCTCTACAATATTAGCTTTTAACTTGTATTACTTGCATGTGAGATCGATCATGGATCGTAAAAGCACAGGCTTTCATTTGCTACACAGTTTTTTTGTATTTACTGAAAACTAAACACTTTGAAAATCTATCGTGGGAGTGGACGTATAAGAGTTGATGTAGTCATCCTTAAATAGCACGCATTGTACATATACCACAGTCTGCTTCATATACTCTGCTTTTATAGTTCTGGGTGTATTTCGGTTTGTTTGTTTTTGTGACTTTTCTTGGTACGACTGCTTTAGAATAGCTGATTAAAACTTAAAGCATAGCTGATTAATTGTGTTCATCATGCAGTATTGATTAGATAATTGTACTAAGGAATGGTTGTGCATCTACTCTTAGCCAGAGGCCAGTCCATGGATCTTGTGACACAGTAATCCAATTAACCATTTAGCTACAGGCCCATGCATACCCACTCTCTGTTTCTCTTTCAATCACTCACACTCACACTCACACTCACACTCACACTCACACTCACACTCACACTCACACTCACACTCACACTCACACTCACACTCACACTCACACTCACACTCACACACACACACACACACACACACACACACACACACACACACACACACACACACACGACAACCATGAGGATGTTCAAAGGTGACATTGACCTTTGTTTAATCTGTGAATTCTTCCTTCCCTTCTCAAGTGAGCCCTTTGCCCTCTCCAATTTAGCGATTTCTCCACTTGACCATTCATGACCCGTGTTTTCTTCTTAAGTACATACAGACAGGTGACAAAAAACAACAACATTTAGTGTTGAGTAACATGGTGGGCCATCACAAGCTGACAGAACCGTTTAAGTGCTCTTTCTAGATATTTTTCTTTTACAAGAACTTCACTTGGAATAAACCCCAGGCCTCCAAAACATTGTTTTCCCTCCTTTGGTGTTTTAATGAAGGTGGAGACAGCATACTTCTATCTGACATGTTGATCAAAAAATGTCACATAGGTATATGGATGGATTAGGAGACATTTGCCCCTGGGCACAGACATGTAAAAGCCTCCGCCCACAGTTGTTTCGCAGGATAAAACAATTTGTTCATGCTTGGGATGGATAGAAGCTTACAGTAATCCTTTTCTTTCAGATCCACCCCTCTCAACCATTTACGTACTTTTTCATGTTCGGACCAGTTCAGTGATTCATACACTTTATTCTTTATAATTAACTTTCATCATAAATAAATAAGTTATCTGTTAGTCACCTAAGGATAGTTTATGTTGCCATGTATACTTACATAGAGAACAATGATGGCATTGTATTAATTACATTTTTTATTTTGTACTAAAAAGTAAAAAAAAAACATGTTTTTAAAAAGAAAGTCAGACTTTTATTTGTTTAAAAAGCAATAGTGTTGAGCATTACGGGACTTTTTGGTTTACATTTTTTTAACCTTTCAATAAAATGTGATATGGATGTAAAAAAATATCCATCCAACATCATTTGTGATTTAGTTGGAGTTGCTAAGTGATTTTTTTTCACAATTATGTAAGAGATTAAATGATTATAAAGAACATTTATTTTAGACATGGCTTTGAGCGTGTGTTGGTTGTTGTGTGTCAATGTTGTCCTGGTTAATTTAAAAGGTCCATTCTGTGTATCTGTATGGACAGAGGAGCAGTCCAAGCACCAGAGTCATAGTTATCAAACCATAGATTGATAATAAACCTGGTAAACATTTGGAAAACTAAACATGCAGCTGCCACAAATTGCAATGTTCATTTTTTGCGAGCTGTTTAATATTTCTCAATTAAAGAGTCCCATGGATGTGTCATCGTCCTTCGTGCTAACAGTGGGGTCAGTGCACTGTACAGTGGCTCTTTAAGTTCATTTCCCTCTCTCTTTGGGTTGTGGGGAGCGGAGGGCAGCTGTCAGCTTTTACGAGCCTTGTTCCCTGGAAAAAATTAGTTCCAATCCCTTATCTGAAATGCTAATGAGAAGCACACACGAGAGGTGGGGACGAGTTGGAGGTTGTGGGGGTTGGCTTTCCGTGATGGATGACAGATGAAGAAACAGAGATGTCTGCCTTTCTTAATCATCCCCTAGCCATGACCTCAAATGCTTCTAAGAAGAGCTTCAAAACTTCCATTTGCATTCCTCAGGAGCAAGTCTTTAAAGAGAAACAAAGCCAGAGAGTCTCAAAAAACACCTGAGGGTGCAGCTGTGTCAGTTTTTATTTTACATTCAGCTCCTTGAATTAACGATGCACAACACACATAGAAAGTCAAGCAGGTTCTATGTTTGTGTTGGACGTTAAAAGAGCCAAACTAAGGCAGATTGGATCTAGGCAAATTACTCAAAGCTTACACACCACTATTTTATGTATACACACTACTTATAAAGTGATACAATACACTTCCAGTCAAGGCTACACTAGCATCTTTCAGTGTATGCCAAGTGGGAAACGCTTGCTGGGTATGAATGAATGTGTTTATACATGCATTATGTCTTCCTATTTACATCTGTATGTTAAATAGCATTTCAGAGACAAAAGGAGAGATTGTTTTCCTTTGTTTGATTTCTACTCTCCCTAGCTTTCTCCCCCCATGCTCCCCAATTTTTCTGTCATGCTTGTCTTGAGTGAGCCCCCTGAATGTTGTAAATGTGATGCAAAGTGATGCCTGTGGATGAACCAAGGAAAAGGCCGCAGTTTGAAGCCAGAGCCTGGATTTTGAAAATGAGCAGAAAAGCTGGAACCTAAAAGTGTGGGGCAGCTTTTAGTGAGCGCTATTGTTCCCTCATAAAACAGCTTCACAGTGTTCACTGTATACTGTATAAAGAGTTTGTTTTCATGACATCCTCAGTCTTAATGTAGGAAATCTTCTCTGTTTTTGTTGGTATAATTGGCAGTAGATGACAGAGTTGTTGTTGTTGTTGTTGTTGTTGTTGTGTTGTGTTGTGTTGTGGGTATTGGAGTGAAGTGCCACCTGTTGTTTAGTGCAGCTTGTACTACTCCTGGGTGTGGATAGGGGAAACATGTTAAGTGGATCTAAAGCTGGATGAATCTAAATTAATGTCGCCACAAAAGCAATGTTTTCTCAGCCTGTAAAAAAGGCTGTGGATGTCCACCTCATTTGGATATCCACGGCTTATTGAAATGCGGAAATTGTTTAACTGAGAAGAGCAAAGAGATGACTTTGTTTCATACATATTCTTTGGTTATTTGCCATGCATTTATGTCTTACATAGGTGCTTTGTTAAACACAACATTTCTCGACAACATTCTCAACATCTTTTGGTTTATCAAACTGGCAAGACAAAGGGAACATTCCTGCTGGTTGTACTGGCATGTCAGAATCCTAACATGTATCCCTTCTTGTCTTTGCAGGTGAATCCACATTTCTGGAAGACCACGGCCCTCCTGCTCCAAATGTAAGTCTTCATCTCTGGCCTTTTGTTGTTTCCCATTTTGCGCCTTCTCTTTTATCTCAATTTCTGCTTTTTTTACCTTTGATTTTCCCCCCCCTCCCCTCTCTGTCTCTGATGTGCTGCCCTGCGTTTCCAAGCCAGTCCAGTCCAGTCAGGATAAGGGTTAGGTCTGTGTGAAAGATCTGCGTGCAAACTCTCTCTAAATACCAACTAGACCTGGCTTCAATGCTACAGTAATGCTCTGAACACACTCTCTCTCACACACACACTCAGCGCTGACACAGAAGCCTTGTATTCCTCCAGCTGCACGTCTGCATGACCATCTCTTCTCTAAACTCTCTCTTTCTCTCCCTGCCAGCTTCTTTCTTCCCCTGTCTGCCCCTTGTTCATTTTCTCCTCTTCTAATCAATCACCACCTCATTTTCACCTCATTCCTCGCCTATTTGATCCCCTTCTTCATCATTATTTTTTTTACCCAGTTCTGATTGAAGAGACGCTGGTGATTTTCCAGGTCTGGGCATAGCATTTAGCACTTGGCTCACCTTACACTTGTGACATCAACTTTGATCTCTGGTTTGTTTGTGAGCGGCTGTTCGGTAAAGTCACATCTGGGCTTTGTTTGTGAGTTATGTTTACTTTGAAAAGCTTGTTCTGGCCACTTTACAAAACCATGCCACCACAATGCTTGTTTCATAGATATAACAGAAGTGTTATTTATGTGCAACAAACTGTGGTTGACACTGTTGTTTGAATTTTTTGAATTTTCCCTATACCAGTTTATTTTTCATTTGAACAAACTTATTATGCTTCACTTGCAACAAGCTGAGAGTGCCAGTTCACTTTATGCAAACTGTTGACGGACGCCAAGCTCTCAATATTTTATGGGCTTGTATAAGTTTAATTTAAATTAAGTTTAATAAATCAAAAATAGTTTCCATAATTTTTCCATTGAAGGCAGAACTGAGAGTGCAACAGCTTGACTGTGTCCTGAGGCAATTCTGAACGATTCTGAGTATTAACTCTCTTATACAAACACAGAAGCCCTGGGATTCGTTTTGACAAATAAAAGTGTGATTTGTAATGGAAGGGAAAGTCTCAGAGAAGCGGAGGGGGCTAATAAAGATGAACTTACTTTATAAAGTATGTCTGTCGTTTTTGAATAAAACATGTTCAGACATTGACTGATAAATGTTGACATACCCATCTGGGTCACCTTTGGTTATTACTGACTGCTCACAAAAAGTAGTTTACATATAGCAACTTTCTTTTTGATGGGTTTTTTGCCCCAGGTGTTGCCTATTAGGCTAGAACCTGGCCGCCCTATGCTTAGACTGATGACGCTTGTCGGGGCTTTTCACGGCCTGAGGAGCTGCAGTCACGAATCAGGGCTGAAAACACTTGCCATCTGCTGTATAATTAACTATAACTATTTGATTTTTATTACAGTGATTATTCTCCTAAAAGAGCCTTGAATTGATCATCAGTCATAGAAATGGCAATAAAAGAGGTTTGGTAATGTTGCAAATCCAACAAGGAAAGTGAATAAATTATAAAACAATTAACTTTCAATCCAAAAATAGTAATGGGCTCCTATTATTGTGAATGTTTCTGATGGCGGTCTGGGACTAAAAATCATCCCGGGAAACTCGACCGGCCGACCGGCCCAACTCGGTACCGCTAGTCAATTGTCAACGACCCCCGTTGACAATTGACTAGCGGTACCGAGTTGGGCCGGTGGGTGCTAGTGAATTGTCCGACCGGCCCACCGGGAAAAAAACTCCCGGTATTCCCAATGGCCAGTCCGCCCCTGTTTAAAATCAATAAACTATTCTTTCTCTCTTTCTTTTCACTCTGCCTGTGTGATTTGACATTTAGTAGCTTTAAAGGCTTTGTTAAGTACATGCAGCCTCCAAAGACAGGGCCCGCTGTAATTATACATTAGCTGCTAACTTTGATTGATTCCATATCTGTCGTCATCTCATCTTCCAGACATGCTAATGCCATTTCAGTGGCAAGAGCTACATCAACCACATCTCTCATTATGTCTACAAACTGCTGCAGCTGAGATTGATCTTCTATTTCAGCAGAGGTCGGTCGGCTGAGGCTCTGGCAAATGTAGGGAAAGATTAGAAATTGGGTAAAAAGCTCAACGTAAAATGAGAGTGTTTGGAAAAACCACGCAGCGCTTAGAATAGAGTTACACATCTGTATGTGTATGGCAGCATGACAAGAATGTCCCCTCAACATTTCTACATGTGTTTAAAATGTGATTCTAATTATCACTTTATGGAGCACATTTCCTTTCATTTTCTTAATTACTTTAATGCAATCTTAAACAGAACAAATTATAGCTATCCAGTACAATAAACAGAACCAATCAGATACATTTCAATCTTAAAAAACAGCAAAAAAACAACAGTAATGCACTTTGAAGAGTCTTGGTGATGTTGTGAGCACATATTTTCCATAAATAATGAAACCAGAAGACAAGACCTTTGCATTCAGGAATGTCCTAATGTATAATCCAATGTCCATGCAAGCTTGGTAAATTATTGCTTATCCAACAAAAGAATTTCGATCTTCATTTGTCACACATATTAAGTGTCTGTATTCAAGTGTAAAGGAGCGTGAGGAAATGTAGTCAGAGTTTCCCATTTCCTCCCAGCCATTGGAAATCAATTTATCTTCATTCACATGAACATTGTGAATGGAAACTCTGCTGTCACAGCTACTTAGAGCAGTGAGACTCCCTCGCTCCTTTTCCGAATGGGAGTGGAGATGAATGGATAGATCATTAATAACAGGAAGTGCTGAGATTCTCTACTGTACCCTGAATGAAACCTTAACATGCTGCTCTCCTCTTCGCGTGGGTTGAGCAGTTGACAGTAGAGAGCAATGAACTGGGAGCAAGGCTAACCAAAAGCGGCAGGGTGCAGGTTAGCGGTGCCGGTGACGTACTGCCGTGGGTTTCCAGTAACTGCAGCAGGAAGATGGTTGTGTATGTGCGGTGGTGGTGAACCAGGACAATTTTCTCAAACTGGCTGTTATATTATTTATTTGGCAGAATTCTTTGGGTGGTCAAGCCATGAGACAGAGACTATAGTTTATGTATGTTTGTTGTCTCTTCTCAAAATATCTCAAAACAGCTTGAAGCGTTTATAGGTTTTAGTGCAAGTGTGTGGGCATGGTGTTAGAAAAGAAAGACACTGAGAATGTGGAAGGAAAGAGGAAAAGGTACAGAACTACTGTGACAAAGTCACTGTGGACTGACGGCTTCGGGCCTTGTAATATTGCACATGTGGGTTTGCACTATATTACAACTTCCTTTTGCACAGAAATAATGTCACTCAGCACTTTAGTAGTGAACAGTTTGCACTTTATTAGCGTGATTGCACAGTACAGTTTGACATTGCATATTTGCTCATTTTTACATATTTTATAATAATTATTGAGGTTGTATTTATGAAATGATTAAACCGTGTTAATTGGAATGTCGTCTGGCAGATACTGGTCGGTCCTCGGCTCCACCTGAAAAGAGAGGGGAGTTAGCGAGAGCACCGAAAGCGCCAGAAGTGGGATTTACCAAGTGAGGAGGTGAAAATGACGAGAGAAAAAAAAAAAGAACGCCCAAAGAGAGGAGCCAGATGATGGTGTGGCTATGCAACCCAGTCTCACGGCATTTCGTATTATAGTCACGACATTTAATCTATTGATTCGTGTTCACCAACACGATTTTCTCCTTTTTTTCGTGTCACACAGAACGATTTTAAAAGCAATGTATTTCTATTGGTAGTATGTTTCGTGCCTGCAGCACGTCTTTTTGTCTGTTCGGGTCGTGGAAGACCGGAAGCTGTGGGGTTCATAAAAACATGTTCTTACTCAATATCAAGCCACAATTATTGTTTTTATTTTAAATCGTATAATGTTGGACTTTTTTTGTCGTCTGTGAGGAAAAGAAATGGGGCTCAGAGCCTCAGAATACTGAAATCTGTATTCTTTTTATCTTTTTCCTTCTAATTTGTTATTCTTTTCTAAATAACACACTGTTATTTACTCACCAATAACACACAATTATCCTTGTTTTTATTTATTGGTTTAATTCCATAATCTCGGGCTTTTTTGGCGTCCGTCAGGAACTGAATTTCAAAATAAAAATAACCGGAAACAGACGTAGGACATTTGGAGCATCATTGCGATACACAGCCACTGAACTGATTACCCAAGATCCTCAGCTATGGTTTAAGCTCGCTGATTGGATGTTCTAGCCGCAATGCATGTAGGGATATGGTGTTAATGCAATATGAAATTCTAAAAACTTTTTTTTAAAAAAGAAAATAATACTTTATTCCGAGTGTTCTTGCTTTTCTCTTTGAAAGTCATCACATAACGGCATTGTAATACACGGTTCGGCTGCATTACATATTACAGATCTGCCGTAGTTCTTTATTTATAGAGCCCTGATGAGAAGACCTTTGGAAAAACTGGAAGAAATGCCGCCGAAACCGAATACTTGACGTGGATCATAAATATATCAACAAAGCTATAATTAAACAACATCTTCAATTTCTCTTCACACAATACCTTGCAGTATCAACACTAATTCGGCTGACTTTTACATTTGATCTAATTCGTAGATAGGTTCTATTTACACCATAACGGTGCACAGCTGATATAAAAGGACTTGTAGTTTTTAAAGATATTACTGATTTTCTTTGAATATAAGAATGTAAATACTGAGTCTGAAATAGTATAGCAATATGCTGTAAAATTATATGAAAGCATGAATAAAACTACACATCTTCAGATGTTGTACATACATACATAAGTGTCCTACACTAATAATACAAAGTTATTATGGCTGTGTGTACCTTGTGTGCACCGCCTAGTGGTTAAAGCATGTTATTGAATTATTGTTTTTATGTGTTATATTTGATGAAAAAAATATTAAGAGTACATACTTTCATAGGGGGAAAGTAGAAGGTCTGTGATAGAAATATAGAATA